GAGCCCGGCCTCTGTCGAGCAGGGCGGCGCCGCGGCGCCGGCCGAGGCGGCGCCCTCCGCGGAGAAGCCCATCGAGGTGGACGAGCTTCTGGACAGCGGGCTGGACCCGGAGCCCACCCAGAGCAAGCTGGTGCGCCTGGAGCCGCTGACCGAAGCCGAAGCCAGCGAGGCGACCCTCTTTTATTTGTGCGAACTGGCGCCCGCGCCCCTGGATAGCGACATGCCGCTTTTGGAGAGCTGAGTCCCGCGGGGGCGGACTTCACCTGTACATATTCATCAAAATGATGAACTATTTATTTTAAGGTGTCATTCGGGACTTTTTTGTAAATGGCTCTGTTTCGGTTGATCAGATGCCGTGGAAGCAAAGCGCCTCCGGCTTCTCTCACTAACCACACTCTTGCGAGCTCCCGGTGTCCCTCCGCTGCACAGGCACACGAGATTTCACGTGGGCACAGCTTTACGTTGGATTCAAACGGCCACTTATCTCCAGTTGTAGTCAGTCGGATTTTTTTTAACAAATATGACCGTTAACCCCAGTTACACTTTTGTATGTTTGTTTGCTTTACTCGTATGATGCTGTCTGTTTGCATTGAGTGTAAGTCACTTGAACTAATGGTATAACGCCTAAAGCTTTCGGTTACTTTTATTAAACATTTTTCACTTGGCTTCTTTTTAAAACTGGGAACATAAAGTGCCTGTATCTTGTAAAACTTCATTTGTTTCTCTTGGTTCAGAGAAGTTCATTTATGTTCAAAAAGTATTCGTGTCCAGCAGGAGAGGCGAAGTGTGCGAGTTCTCACTGTCTCACGTGGTTTCGCTCCACATACCTAGAAGTGGGGGTGGGGTGGCATCAGCCCCATCCACTTGGTGGGACTCGTTTTAAGTATAAAGGTTTTCTGGGTTGTGTTTTTTGAAACATGCTATTTAGTAAAATAAATGTAATGAATGTTGAGTACTAGTGTCTATTATGTGTGTTCTTTGGAGGTGGCACTCCTAGAGTTGTTTCCTTCTCAGAGGAAGCGGTGACTTTAAACTGTGTCTGTGGTTCCTTTCTCTTAATATGAGCACATCAGGATCTTCCTGCTTCATCTAAAAGTCCAAATGCAACAAGGGATGACTATGATGTCTCTGAATTTAATGCCTTGTAAAGTCATTTGTGTGGCTTGCTTTGTGTTTCCAATAAAGAGCCGAGAGAAGGATGCCTCTCATTGGCCCGCCAAGGGCCTGTCATCTTTGCCCCCAGCCAAGATGAGAGAAAGAGTCAGACCATCTCCTCCTCTTGAAACAGATTCCCATGAGAACTGAAGAGACTGAATGCGAGTCCAGGGCATTTTTTGACTTGAAGAACTCTACCTCAGGCAGAGGGCCGACAGTGCAGCTGGTATCTGGATACTGTATAGGCCTCTTTGATGAGGGATTCCAAGGGAAGGCGTTCCTTTGGGCCAGTTTGTCTCTCGGTGTGTTAGAATTTCTTTTACTGTGATGTAAAGATTCAAATTAGGGCCTAACAGAACGATAGGAAGAGTTCTTCCTTCAAAGAGTCCTAGTTAGATCCTAAAGTACTCAGCTCTGACAGTAGGATCTTGATGAATTAGTTCAAGACTCTGGAAGTTTTCTGCATGAGCTGAAGATGAAGAGGTCACTTTCCTGAAGTCTGTTCAGGTGAGAAGAGTTTAGAAACTGAAGGGAGGAAACCCTAAGAAGAAGTCTTTTCCCCTTTCCTTTCTCATTATGCATTCTGATCGAGTTTCTTCTCCTTGTGTACATTTTGGAGCCCTAAATGCACTCTAAAAATAATTTTGAGAAAGAGTACCACCCTGGTACTTTTAAAGTTGATATTTAAAATTTTTCATGTTACGTTTAAATAGTTGGAGTGGAATTTAGGACATTGTCAATGTTGCCGTTTTCAAATACAGTTAATGTGGTTTTTGGGGGTTTTTTTTTGAGTCAGAGTCTCACTCTGTCGCCCAGACTGGAGTGCATTGGCCGCTCCCGGCCACCGTAGCCTCGACCTGCTGGGCTCCGGTAATCCTTCCGCCTCAGCCTTCTGAGTAGCCAGAATTACAGGCACGCGCTACCACACCCGGCTGATTTTTTGATTGATTGTAGAGATGAGGTCTCAGCAGGTTGCCCAGGCGGGTCGCGAACCCTTGGGCTCAGTCAATTCACTCATCTCAGCCTCCCAAAGTGCGGGATTACAGGCTGAGCCACCGAGCCTGGCTGTTATGTGTTTTGTTTCCATGTATCTCACAGTGACTTGATCTCCGTCATATCCACTTTACTACCGCCAAAGAATTTTATCCTACTTTCTTGGTGTGTAAAAGTTATACATTGATGATCCTTTGTCAGACTTCTTTACATCTAAATTTGAAATTGTTTCCTGTAATTGTAAGATTCCAGGTATTTAAAGAGTTCATCTCCAATTACAAATACACAGTTGTTCAAAACAGTATAAATGTATGTGGTCGGGATCTGATTGCCAAACCACTTCCTTAAGTGGCTAGATTTTCACCTTTGCAGATGCGGCAGCTGTGTCACTGGGTTCTAATCCATAAAACAGGAGAAGCGACCTACCACACTTCAGATCTGGTGTGGCAACCTCCCCCAGGCAGTCTTCGCCCGCCCGCCTTTGCCCTGCCCTGCTTAAGGCATAGGGGAGGGGCAGTCAAGGAAGAACGGCGGCTTTCCGAACACTGCTTAGAGCAGAGCCACGCATCAGCCTTGGACACTCGTTCGAGGCTTCCGACGAGGGCGAAACAAACCTTGATGGTTCCATTTGAGTTTGGGGGAGTTCGTCTGCTCTGTAGTGTTGACTCTTGTACCCTCTAGTTTGATGGCCTCTTATTGAAATGCTGATTCTCGTGGGATAAACAGGTCTTGAGTTTCTAGGAGTTCTTCAGTACCAATTTTACCCCCATTTTTGTTTCTATTGCTGTTGAAGTCCCAAGAAACTTTGCTTGTAATACAGCGGAACGAGTAGATGAGAAAGGAATTTTGTATAGTACATTATTTGAACTCCTTCAGGGTTATATACCAGAATTCACTATTATTATTTTTATCATCTGTCAACTGGTGACTCAGATCATCTTTCAATTTTGATGAAAGCACAAATACTAGAAACCACCCGAGTTACAAAGTTTCTTTTTTTTCCTAACCAGATAGTGTCATCTCTTCCTCACCAGTATTTTTAAATGGTCCCCTTTACTGGCTAAGTGCCTTGGTAAGATTCGCAATGGCTAAGAGGCGTGTTTTGGCCAAGTATGAAAAGGGGAGCTGTTAAGAGGGATGATCCCTTGTTCTCGGGCACCTTTTCAGGCAGGTCAGTTTTAGGAATTGAAGATGTGAAGGCTTTGAAAACAAAGCAGCTTGTGTAAGTGAGAAAGTCTCTGGACTGTCTTGGGAACAGGTGCTGCTGCAGTGTGAAGACGGTTTAGAGGGTCCCCCCTCATCCCACCTCCAGCTTTGTTGTGCCTCAGAGAGAGACAAGTAGCACTAAGAGCTTGTGACTTGTAGACAGCTAATCGTGCTTTTAGGGGTGTGTCGGCAGGTTCCACACAGATAGCATACTCAACACAGACAGCATACTCAGGAGTCTAGAGCCTGAGGTGTGAGAAAAAGGGGTTGCAGACCGCCAAAGTGCCAGATGACACGACGATTAACTTATGCAATGCTGCATTCAAGAATTTAGAGCCTAGACCGTCCTTTCAAGCACACGTGAAATATTTTTTGAAATCAGTATGGCATGTTAGGTCACAAAGTCAGTCAACGAATTTTAAGGAGTTGTTATCAAGCAGACTCACCACAATACAAATAAGCTAGAAACCAGCAGTACCATTTTGAGGTTCCTTAACATTTTTTGAAATGGCAAAAGAACTGCTGAACTCTTGGGTCTAACAGGACATACTGAAAATTCTGACGTTAATGGTTTTTAAAAACCCCACATACCCAAATGAACGAGATGCAGTTTTAAGTGATATCTAATGGGGAGAAAGAAGTCTAATCTAGTCTTAAGTGCTTCCGTTAGGAATAAAAGCAAAATGAGCTGGACACTCAGATTAAATCAAGAAATAGAATGAAGCCAAGTAAAGTGGAAAGAAATGAAAGAACAGCAAGTGTCAAGTCAGACCCTACTTGTCTAAAACACAGAAGGTGATCAAAAACGATCGAAACGGAAAACTCCCTGGGAAGGTCAGGCAAGAAATGAAGCTCAAAAAACCACGAGAAGACGAAACCTCTGCAGATGCGCTGGAATTCAAATAGTAACTGTAAACAGTTAGCTTGAAAACAGACAAAACAGACAAGTCACAAATACTTTACCTCGACTGCTGGAGGAAAGACATGTAATCCCATAACTACCAAACAGTGTCAGTAATGAAAACTTTTCCCCAAAGAAAAGTAATTTGCCAATAAGTTCCACCAATTCCCACATGAAATCAGTACAACTGTCGTGCTAATCTGCAATACAACAGGTAGCAGTTCACTCAGAATGAAAGCAGTTGTGCATCTGATTATGCCTGCATATGTGAGTGTGTGTATCTCCATGTTTAGGTATGCTTACATATGAATGAAATAAATGACAGCAATGATACAGGGGACAGGAGGGAGAAACTTATTATAAGTACTCAGACTGCCTGTGAAACGGTTTGATATTATTTGAAAGTGACGTTGGATTAGCTGTAAATATATATTGCAGACTCTAGGGCAACCATATGCTAGAAAGGAGAGCAGAATTATATGACATGCCCAGCTAAAACCATGAAATACAGAAAGAGTGGAAGACAAAAATAGGAACAAAGAAGCAAGTTCAGATAGAAAAATAACATGATACATATTTGCCAAACATATGATTACTTTGACTGTCAGTGGTCTACAGGTGCCAATTTAAAAAAACTCCGTCAGAGGGGATCACAAAATAAGACCCAGCTCTATGCTGTTTACAAGAAACCCACTTTAAATGTAGAGAGACGTAACGATTAATGGATGGAAAGAGATTGCCTATGGGTTCCAGGAGATTATGTCTATACTTTGGATTTTTCTATGTAGAGGATCATGTCATCTAACAATTGTATGTCTTCTTTCCCAAGCAGTACACCTTTTATTTCCTTTTCTTGTCTTGCTGCGTTAACTAGGACGTCCCTGAGGGTACTGAAATGGTGAGAAGGAACATCTTTGCCTTCCTCCTGATCTTGGCGGCAAAGCTGCTAGTTTCTCATCGTTAAGTTTTAACTTTTGATGGTAGCCGTAGAGGTTTTTTTGTTTGTTGTTGGTATTTATCAAGCTGAGAAAGTTCCACTCCGTTCCTAGTTTATGGAAGGTCTTTATCATAAATGGGTTTTGGATTTTGTCAAATACGTTTTCTGGATCTACGGATGTGATCATGTGATTTTTCTTCAGCCTGTCGACTTGATGGATTACAAGACATTTTGGTATGAGGGTGATGCTCACCTCATGGAATGAATGAGTTAGAAAGTACACCTTTTGCTTCTATCTTCAGAAAGAGTTTGTAGTGAATTAACAGTTTCTACCTTTAACGTTTGGTAGAGTTCACCACTGAACCCATCTGGGCCCGTGTTTTCTGTCTTGGAAGGTGACTATTAATTCAGTTTTAAGAATATACAGGCATGCTAGTGTCTCTCGCTTCCGGTGTGCGTTTTGGCAGTCAGGGTGTCACCCAGGTGGAGCGCAGTGATGCGAACATGGCTCACCACAGCCTCGCCCTGGGCGTCAGTGACCCTTCCACCTCAGTCTCCCAAGTAGCTGGGACTACAGGCATGCACCGCCATGCCTGGCTTCTTTGGATCTTTTTGTAGAGATGAGGTCTATGTGGTTAGCTGGTCTCAAGCTCCCGGGTTCAAGCAATGCTCCTGCCTCCCCCTCCTAAATTGCCGTGACTACAGGTGTGAGCCATGGTTCCTGGCCGGATTGTGTCTTTCAAGGACCTGGCTATCAAGGTTATCAAACTTATGGACATAGTTTTATGACTTTAATATCCTTATAATGTCCAGGGGATCTTCAGCGAATGACTCCTCTTTCTGTTATTAGTAATTAGTGTCTTTTTAGTCTGGCTCAATACAGGTTTTTAAAAATTTTACGGAGCTTTCAAAGACTAGTGTTTGTCTTCACCGATTTTCTCAATTTCCTGATCTTTTTCTGCCTGCTAGATGTCTCTCCATTTCTGATAGAGGAGTATTTAAGTCTCCAGTTCAAAAAAATTCTTTTTTGTTTAAGAGACGAAGTCTCTCCAAGTTGCCTAGACTGGTCTCGAACCCCTGTGCTCAGTCAATCCTCTTGTCTCTAACTCCCAAAGTGCTGGAATTACAGGTGTGTGAGACACTGCACCCACCTGGCTTCTAGTTTTAGTAATAGTGAATTCATCTGTTTCTCCCATTTTTGGCCTCACGCATTCTGATCACCTGTTGCTAGGTACACATGTCAAGGATAATTATGTCTTCTTGGAGAGTGGACCCCTACGTCTCTTTATCCCTGATGATAATTCTCGTTCTATAGTCTGCTATTCTAAAATTAACATAAATTACAGCATGCTAACACTAATCAAAAGGCAGAAGTCCCAGCTACTTGGGAGACTTTCTAACTCATTCATTCCATGAGGTGAGCATCACCCTAATACCAAAACGTCTTGTAATCCATCAAGTCGACAGGCTGAAGAAAAAAATCACATGATCACATCAGTAGATCCAGAAAACGTATTTGACAAAATCCAAAACCCATTTATGATAAAGACCTTCCATAAACTAGGAACAGAGTGGAACTTTCTCAGCTTGATAAATACCAACAACAAACAAACAAACCTCTACGGCTACCATCAAAAGTTAAAACTTAACGATGAGAAACTAGCAGCTTTGCCGCCAAGATCAGGAGGAAGGCAAAGATGTTCCTTCTCACCATTTCAGTATCCTCAGGGACGTCCTAGTTAACGCAGCAAGACAAGAAAAGGAAATAAAAGGTATACTGCTTGGGAAAGAAGACATAAAATTGTTAGATGACATGATCCTCTACATAGAAAAATCCAAAGTATAGACATAATCTCCAGGAACCCATAAGCAATTTTAGGAAGGTTACAGGATCCAAGGTTAATATACAAATTAAAAATCCAATACCATTTATATTAGCATCACCAAAATTGAAATTTTAGGTATAAATCTAACAAAATATGTACAAGATCTACATGAGGAAAACTACGCAACTCTTGATGTCAAGCAAAAAAACTACACAAATGGAGAGATTCCATGTTCATGAATAGGAAGACGACGGTCAAAATGTCAGTTCTTTCCAGCTCGATCTGCAGATTCAATGCAGTCCCAATCAAAATTCCGGCATTACCTGTGGATACCGATCAACTGATCTTAAAGCTAATATGGAGAAGCAAACAACCCAGAATAGCCAACACAACAGTGAAGGAGAAAACATACCAGAGGAGGAAAGACACTGCTCATCTTCAAGACTTGCCATAAATGCAGAGTTGACACCCTTCACAAAAAATTATCTCAAAATGGAGCACAGATCTGCATGTACAATTACAAAACTCCTAGAAGATGACACAAGAAAATCTCGATGGCCTTGGGTTTAGGAATGGCAGTTTTAGATATAACACTAAAGGCATAAGCCATGATCCACAAGGATTCTCTCCTCTCCCACCATTCCTGACTCCAAGCTATTAATCTGTTCTCCATTTCTATAAGAATGTCCGATAAATTGAGTTCTACTGTATGTGATCTTTTGCAGTTATCTTTTTTCACCTATCACTCAAGTTTTTGCATGTACTACTAGTTCACTCCTTTTTTATGAAGGTATCGTTCCACAGCATAGCTGTACGAGTGTTTAACGATTCACCCATTGAAGGACATGATCTTGGGTGCATCCAGTTTTGGCTATTATAAATAAAGAAGCTACAAACATTTATGTACAGGTTTTTGTGTGAACATAAGGTTTTACTTACCTGTGATAAATGCTCGAGATTGTTATGGGCATTTTACTGCCAATAATGCTGGACAAAGACCCCCTTCAAAGCAATTCTTTAAATAAAATATACTAAAGCTTGGCAACTGATTTTGGTTGGAGTCTGGGTGTGGTAGCTCATGCCTGTAAGCTTTTTGGGAGTCCAAGGTAAGAGGATCACTTGAGGCCAAAAGTTCAAGACCAGGCTGAGCAACACAGTGAAACACTGTCCCCACAAAAATATTTTTAAAATAGGCATACTGGCACATACCTGTAGTCCCAGCTACTCAAGAGGCTGAGGCAAGAGGACTACTTAAGCCCAAGGAGTGGAGGCTACAGTGAGCCAAGACTGCACCACTGCATTTCAGTCTGGGAGACCAACCCCATCTCTTAAAGAAAAAAAAAAGTGCATCAGTAGAATCGCATCACTTATGTTTTAGTTTAGTAAGGGAAATGTTTATGCCATCTAAAGTGTCAGGGAAAGACGCGTCAATTGGCAACCAGAAAAAACAAGTGAAGGACACAACAGGTGTGGAGTACCTACTGAATGTGTTAAAAACATGATCTAAGCTATACTGATCTACCTGCTGAAGGCTCTTTAGGGGAAAAACAATACTGAGATTCTATTTCAGGGGTCACTAACAGACAACCAAAGGGTGAAAGTCACCTTCAAAACAATTCAACTGCCAGGACAAAAAACGGGCAGCTGTTTTCTAATGCCAGGTCCTTTTTCACATAGGAAGAAAGATCTGAGCATCGTCACGGCCAGCTAAATTTGAGGTGCTGAAGAATACACTATACACTTTCTTGGAATTCATTTATTTAGAGATAAAACACAGTCATTCAAAACTGTGAAACAGTATCAACACACAGAATAAGGTTAGGGAATTAAGTTGAATTGTTATACTTCATTTACAATAAATATTCTTAAAGAAGGAAATGTAGATGTTTTGAAAGCTTCATTAAACACTAATGACACACACAAATAACTTATTTAACTGTCACTGTCATACTGCTTGATTTTCAGATTGAGAGATTATAATCTACATATTTCAATTACATGGCCGTAAATACAAAAGCATCATAACATCTTTTGAACTGCGTAGTGTACTGTAAGCAGGAGCTTATTTCTACAACATTCCATCATTATCCTGACCTCAGCTCATGGGGAGAAGGCAGGCTGGACGCCAGCGATCCACGTCACTTAAGTTATCCACCAGTAATGACGTGTAAAGTCAATTTTGCATGTATTTGAACAGAAATTACCTCTGGATGTCAGAATGCCAGCTACTGTCAGCAGCTTTGCCACTAATTGGCGACTTGAGCTATTTAAGTCTGTGCTTCAGTTCTTCATTTTTAGAATGAAAGAACTGACTAGGTTTTATCTAAGTACCTACCAAAGCCTGGTATTTTGCTGTTTCTTCCTGCCCTGTCAAAACTCTACCGCCTTTGATTTTCAAGAGTAACTTTCAAAGTGACTTTCAACAACTTCCTTCTAACCTATGATCATCCTTTTCAAATCCTTATCTAAATTTTTCAGTTTCAAACACACCCACTGGACTCGTACTTTCTGCCCGGGCTTCTAACGACCAGAGCAGTGTTCATGTTCTTGGGCATCTCTCCAAGGAAGATGATTCACTGGGTATCCAACTTAGTACCCACACACCATCCATAACCTACGCCGTCACCCCCTGAACACTCCCTACCTGTGTAAGTCCCTTACTTTCGTATCAAGGGGAAAACCTAACAAGATTTTCAGACGATGATATTTAGGTGACTTATTTGCAAGATTTTAGGATAGCCACATTCTTCACAGTATCCTGCAAGGCAACACATAAAATACTTCAAAAGGCAGCCATAAATTTGCTTTCATGCCTTCTAAAACACCTTAAGAGCTAACACAATTTTAAAACCAAACTGTCAAGCAAGTTTGTTTTTCCTCTTAATTTTACAGGTACAGAACAGAGGATGAGCCTAACAAAGTCCACTTTTCCTTACCAGCAGAGTCATAAATTTCTCCCTTTGCAATTCATTTTAGTTCACTTATCAGTGCGCTTGGCAAGAAAATAATGAATAAAATGGCAAGCGGTAAAATCTAGTTCATGCCAGCACAACACTGAAGAAGTTACATGGGAAGCATACACATATACAACTTTACGAAAGTTGGGAACACTGTTTTCAAATAAGCAAAGATCGAAGTGGAACTTTCATGCCAGAAGTCCCGTTCAGTCGAAATCACGATTTGTAAGAACAAGCGGTGCCACCAGTGTCCAAACATACAGCACGATCCCGATCCAACTGGAAGAGATTTTCACCCAGACAGCTGTCCACTGACTTTTCATTTCACGAGAGGGTTCGTACCTAGAACGTAAGGGAAAAACTTTTAGAAGGGGCAAGAGGTTGGATCATGAGCCATCGAGCTTTGTGATATCAGATCTATAGCTGCTGTCTGATCTGCACTCTTTCCCACACTGCTTTCATAGCTAGTATGAAGGAAGAAATCTGATTTCCCTCATTGGAGTGAAGTGCATAAGCCTCTGAAAGAGTTCTTTTGCATAGCAATCGGAGGCATCTGGTGTATGACTAGCATGTTATTAGATAAGACAGAAATGGATGATCTCTGGATAAATAAGATGTTACTGTTCCCTAAAAGACTGTTCAAGTATGTATGGAATCCTACTCCTGATCTCCCCCCAGCCCTGCCTTCTGAGAGTTAAGAGACTGGGGAAGAAATATATCCCAAGTTTAGCTAATTTTTGTGTTCATAAAACACACCAAAAATCTTTTTGATCTAAAGGCTTAACATTTGCTATTATCTAATAGCCAAAACACTAAATTAACAACTATTTGGATTCTTACAGCTTAACATGCTACAGTATAGAAATGTATAAAACCTTCTTTCAATAATAAATATCAGTCAAGCCCATAAGCAAAGAAATACAACAAAGAATAATCTTTTTTCTCCATCTCTTGTTGGAATTGAAAGCCTTCTTATAAACTGCCTAAGGGCATTAGACATTAAAAAGTTGTTAAAAACAGAACTTCCCAAACCACACAGTTCAATTTGAATCTTAAACCAAATCTTTCAGTAATCATTTGGAAAATATAGGAATTTTTTTAAATGCAATACTATAAACTGCTACCTTCCTCTTACCAGAAAGATGTTTATGGAATAATTTTGAAGTGATAAAAAAAGCATTAAGTTATGACATTCGGTAATTCTAAAAATCCATCTACATTAATGTATTCATATCTCAATTTAAAAATTTTCACAGCTTTTAATAACAAAAAAGGAGATATCTTTTACTGTACTATGCTGGGAATGAGTTTACAGTATTTATAGAAATAAACATTTCAGATCAACTGTTGTCAATGCATTTCTGCAAAAAATGTGTCTGAGTTTCATGTCACTTTTTATTTCAATCCCTTCAAGATCTGAAACTATTTCAATGCTTCTGCTACTGCTACAGCAAGGAAGTCAAGTCTGCATTTCTTGTGCTGTTCTCGCTCTTCCTTTAGCTGTGAAGTTTGAGATGCATCAGAGGACGACAAGAATGTCGTATCCCATCATGTCCGGCAAGTGAAGAAAGCAAGCCAACAGCATTCCCACCTCCCAAGTTCCCACGAACGGTGAATACCTGTACCAGTTGGTGAGGGTCATCATGATGTACAGCGAAGCCAGGAAAAGCATGAAGTGGAAGAAGGAGTAACTGTAGGTGACGCCATCGCGCTCATTGTCCACAGCACGGGGCACATCGTCGCCATCCTCCAGGGACCCATCGCTTCTGGCTCCACCGTCTTCTATTAACGTGGATTCATCACTTGTTAGAGTCAGTTTATTGACCTGGCTGTTGTTTGAAGTGCGGATGCTGCGTGAGAGAGGGTTTAAGAAGAAGGAAGCGTGTTTTTTGAAGAAATGACTCAAAATGAGTAAATATGTATTTCACATCAAGAAAAAGCCCCCAGCTTTTCTTACCTCGAATAAAACACACACAGTAAGAAGAGGATGAGTCCGATGATTCCCTGGGCATGCCACCACTGGACCGACTGCCCTTCCTTTGGGATAGTGCTTGTTGTGTTGTAGCCAATGATGCTCAGCAGACTAGGGTTGCAGTTTGTTTCTGTAACATAAATTAAGGCCACACTGAAATGTTTGAAAAGCTCTGCCCTAAAAAACAACAGTTCTTTTCTGCTCTTTATCTTGCAAATTCAAAAAACTTTTCTGGAAAAGGTATAAGTAAAACAACAAAAGACTTAAGACAACTTATATTTATTAATAATATGATCTCTTACTTTTGTAGTTCTGACTGTACAGAAGCACATAAAAAGTTAAATCATTCAACTGTCAACCACATGTGAGCGGTCTGGTTCTAGTACCTCTTTATCAGCAAACAGGTGAAATACAGATGACCTTTCTAAAGGTGGTAGAATCACAGTAGATTAAGAAGTAAAATTCATCTATTCTAAACCATAATGCACTGGCTTTTCTACCATATACCATGAGACTATAACGCTGAGTTTATAAGGCTCACCAATTTGTCAAAGCACATTGTTAAAAAAGCAAGATAACTTACACAAAAACCAGTTATAAGGACCTTGCAAATGCCTTATGGGAACGATAAATAAGGCATAACAACCTACTGCTCATTCAGTCTCTTTTTTGTTAAAAAAAAATAATTAAAACAGGGTTGGACAAATATTCACTGAAATGTCCTATATATATATATATATATATATATATATATTTTTTTTTTTTTTTTTTTTTTCTCCTGCCAAGCCAGATCTGTCAAGCTCCATCTTACTAACAAAAATAATTCTTGTCTTACAGCCAATTAGGTAAGGCTAATCTCTAAACCAAATTACTAATAATTTTTTTTCAAACCAATTACCTGGAAAACAAATCTTTTTTAGTCTGCCAAAATATACCCCAAAAAACCTACCAACGACAAACACTCCATTTTTCTCCAAGTTATAAAGTACCTATGATAAAGACCTACAGAATTTGTAAGCTCAATGAAATGAGATTTAGATAACATTCTATATTTGTAAGGAAGAGATCATTTTCTTCCTTTTCTTAAAATAGTAATTAGTTTATATCTTTCTATTCTAATTTGTCTCCCCCCCAGTGACATACATTGGTTTCTATTCCTATGGAATGCAAAGTAATTAGCCTTTAAAGAGATTTATTACAAAGCCAAATTATCGAGTTCAGCAAAAGGTAGTCACTGACAAGAAGAGCAATTTAATAACATTAAAAATTATACTGTTTACAATTGGATCAACAGACATTTGAATAGTTTTTATTTCATTCAATATATAACTATCTTATGCTTTATGCAAATTGGGTACATTTCTTACAATTTTCACACAATTTCTTACACAAACACACCTTGTTTTATCGTGTTTCGCTTTCTTGTATTAGCTTAACAGATACTACTCTTTTGACAAATTGAAGGTTTGTGGCAACCCTGCATCAAGTTATCAGTTCTGTTTTTCCAGTGTGCTCATTTTGTGTCTGTGTCACAGCTGGTGATTCTCACAATATTACAAACCTTTTTGTTATTATTATCTGTTGTGGCGATCTTTGATGTTACTATCGTAATTCCTTTGGGGTGCCACAAATGTACTCACACAAAAAGAAGAAATAATCTAAATGCTGTGTGTTCTTACTGCTCCAGCAACCAGCCACTTCCTTGTCTCTCTCCCTCTCCTAGGGCCTTCCTATTCCCCAAGACACAAACATATTGAAATCAGGCCAGTTAATAATCCCACAATGGCCTCTAAGGGTCCAAATGAAAGAAGAGTTGCACATCTCTCACTTTAAATAAAAAACCAGAAATGACTAAGCTTGGTAAGGAAGGCATGTAAAAAGCCGCGACAGCCGGGCTCGGTGGCTCAGCCTGTAATCCCAGCGCTTTGGGAGGCCAAGGTGAGTGGATTGCCTGAGCCCGCGGGTTCGAGACCCGCCTGGGCAACTTGGTGAGACCTCATCTCTATAATAAAATCAAAAAATCAGCCGGGCATGGTAACGCGCACCTGTAGTCCCAGCTACTTGGAAGGCTGAGGCGGAAGGATCGCCAGAGCCCAGCAGGCGAGGCAGTGGTGGCCGGGAGCCACTGCACTCCAGCCTGGGCGATGGAGTGAGACTCCAACTCAAAAAAAAAGAAAAAAAAAAGCCAAGACAGACCAGAAGTCAGACTTCTGTGTTAGCCAAGTTGTGAATGCGAAGGAAATGTTCTTAAAGGAAATTTAAAAAGTGTTTCTCTGGTGCACACATTTGTGATAAGGAAGCAAAAGTCTCAGTGCTGATATGGAGAATGTTTTAGTGGTCCACAAAGACCAAGCCAGCTACAACATTCCCTAAGCCAAAGCCTAAGCCGGAGCAAGGCCGTAACTCCCTTCAATTCTATGAAAGCTGAGCAAGGTGAAGAGGCTGCAGAAGAAAAGCTTGTGGCTAGCAGAGGTTGGTTAATGAAATTCCAGAAGCTGTCTCCATAACATGCAAGTGCAAGGTGAAGCAGCAACTGCGATGGAGAAGCTGCAGCAAGTTATCCAGGCGATCTAGCCAAAATAATTGATGAAGGCTGCTACACTAATCCACAGATTTTCAATGTAGATAAAACAGCCTTCTGGTGAAAGAAATGCCATTTAGGACTTTCATAGCTGCAAAGAAATGAATGCCCAGGTTTGAAGCTTCAGAGGACAGGCCGACTCTCTTGTTAGGAGATAATGCAGATGGTAACTTTAAGTGAAAGCCAGTACTCATTTACCATTCTAAAAATCCTAGGGCCTCTAAGAATTATACTACATCTACTGTGCCTGTGTTCTAATAAATAGACAACACAGTCTGGAAGACAGCACATCTGTTGACAGCATGGTTTATGGAATGTTTTAAGCCCGCTGTTGAGACCTATAGTTCTGTGCAAGTGTCACTGCTCAGGGACAATGCACCTGGTCACCCAAGAGCTCTGATGGAGACACACAAGGAAATCAACGTTGTCTTCGTCTCTGCTAACACCACATTCATTCTGCAGCCCAGGGATCAAGAAGTAATTTCAAGCTTTCAAGTCTTATTAATCAAGAAATATATATTGCAAGGCCACAGCTGCCCCAGATAGTGATTCTGCTGATGGATTTGGGCAAAGTAAATTGAAAAGCTTCTGGAGAGGATTTATCATGCTGATGCTACTAAGAACATCTGCGATTTATGGGAAGAGGTTCAAACACCAACATTATCAGAAGTTTGGAAGAAAGTGAGGTGTTCAAAACTTCAGTGGAGGAAGTAACGGCACATATGGTGGAAAGGGCAAAAGAACTAGAATCAGAACTGAAGCCTGAAGATGTGGCGCTGTGACGGCTGCAACCCCATGATCAAGCCTGAACGCATGAGAAGTTGCTTCTTCCGAGTGAGCAAAGCAAGCAGTTTCTCAAGATGGAATCTACTCCTGGTGAGGATGTCCTGCACACTGTTGAAACGACAGCAAAGGATTCAGAAGACAGCACAGACTTAGCTGACAAAGCAGTGGCAATCTCTGAGATCGGACTCCATTTCTGAGAGAAGGTCTACTGGATGCAGAATGCGACTGAACCGCACTACATGTGACACGTCTTTTGTGAAAGGAGGAGTCAATCGATGTGGCAGACGTCACTGCTGTCTTATTGTAAGGAGCGGCCACAGCCACTACTCCCATTCAGTGTAAAACTAGACGTCCTGGCCAGCAATGAAGCAAGAGAAAGAAAGACACAGTCTTCGGATTGGAAAGGAAGAAATCAAACTACCTCTAGATGCTGATGATAAGATTTTATACCTAGAAAATCTTAAAGATGCCTCCAGAAGAATCCTGGTCAGTAAAACCTCAGGATACAAAATCAACACACAAATAGTAACACTACTATACACCAATATCAAGCTGAGAATCAAATCAAGAGCTCAATACCACTTAAAATAGCTGCCAAAAAATTAAAATACTAAGAATATATTTAACCAAGGAGGTGAAAGAGCTCTACAAGAAAAACTACAAATCACTGATGAAAGAAATCACAGAGGACATAAATGAAAAACCATCCCATGTTTACGAATTGGACGAAATCAAAATTGTTAAAATTACCCTACTACTCAAAGCAATGTACAGATTCAATGCAATCTCTATCAAACTTTACACTAACATCATTTTTCACAGAATTATGGATCCCCCCTCCCCCAAAAGCCAGAATAGCCAAAGTAATCCTAAGCAAAAAGAACAAACCTGGAGGCATCAAATTACCCGACATCCAATTATACTACAAGACTATAGTAACCCAAACAGCATGGTAGGAGTACAAGAGCAGACATATGGATCAATGGAGCAGAACACAAAATACAGAAATAAACCCAAATGCCTACAACTAACTGACCTTTAACAAAGCAGACAAAAATATATACTAAGGAAAAAAGACCCTATTCAATAAATGGTGCTGGGAAAATTGGACAGCCACCTGCAGAAAAATGAAACTTGATTCTTATTTCTCAACATATACAAAAGCTACTCAAGACTTGGAACCATAAAAATCCTAGAAGAAAACTTAAGAAAAACTATTCTGGACACTGGCCTAAGCAAAGACCATATGGCTAAGACCCCAAAAGCAAATGCAACAAGAACAAAAATAAACAAATAGAACTTAAACTAAAAAGAGTTTTTGCACAGCAAAAGAAATAACCAACAGGGCACACAGGCAACCTACAGAATGGGAGAAGATACTCGTAAACCATACATCTGACAAAGGACTAATATTTAGAGTCTACAAAGAACTGAAACAAATCAGCAAGAGAAAGCAAATAACCCCAATTTTAAAAGTGGGCAAACAGCATGAACAGATCTCTCTTAAAAGAAGATACATAAATGGCCAAAAAACACAAAAACGTTCAACATCATTCATCATCAGGGAAACCACAAAGTAAAACCACAGTGAGATACCACCATACACCAGTCAGAATGGTCATTCTTAGAAAAACCAAAAAGCAGTAGATATCATAGATGTGGTGAAAAAGAAACACTGTTAGTGGGAATTTTCCTCTGCAGAAAGCAGTAGGGAGATTTCTCAAAGAACTAAAAGTAGATCTACCATTTGGTGAAGCAATCCCACAGCCAGGTATCTACCTTTTGGAACAGAGGTTGTTATACAAAAAAGATACCTCCACATGGATGTCTACTGAGTAACAATTTGCAACTGCAAAGAGACAGAATCTATTTAAATGCCCATCCATTGATTAGTGGATAATGAAAATAGGGTGTCTGCATACTATGGAATGTTGCTCAGCCACAAAAAAGGACGAAAGAAAGTCTCTTGCAGAAACCTGGGGGGACGGAGACGCCTAAGTAACACAGGAACGGAAAACCAAATACCGGTGTCCTCACTGAGCAGCCCAAACTGAGCTAAGGGCCTGAAAGGCAGAGCGGATGGCAATGGGCACAGAAGGCGCAGAAGCGGAAGGCAGGAGTGGCGGGGGGGACGAAAAGCCACCCATCAGCACCGCGTGCAGTGAGGGTCCCGCGGGCACGGCTGAAGCCCAGACTTTTCGCCACTGCACAAGGCATCCGTGCAACCGCACAGCCACTCGTCTCCCACAACAGACGCAGTGCCGTTACGGCACAGGTATCAGCCATCAGCCTCAGCGCAGTGCAAACAAGACTTGTATGCACTGGGAAAACGGAAAACTCGTGTGACTAACTTTCCTGTGACATTAGCTTTATGGTGGTGGTGGGAAGCCAAAGCCACAGTTTCTCTGAGGCATGCCTGTAACCTTCTTGTAATTTTGCCGGTGAAGGAAGAAACTAAGTGGAAAAAAACAGTAAATACATTTAAAAAAAAATAGAAATACATCAAAGATGAAAATGGTATTATTGACATACTTTGTACTTCTAGGAGCCTAATTTCTAAGTCATTAAATCCCAGAAAAAGACAATCAGTGGAAAACAAAACAAAACTGCTGAACTCTTAATACAAACAAAACAAAGCATACCTGGTTCATTAGTCATAGCAGACCATGTCAAATACATTGTGTAGACTGTAATTACTGAAGACTGTAACAGACCAGATCTTGGTTGTGATTCCTACCAAAAAAACATTAAACAGCACAGATAAATATTCTGGTGTCATTCTAGATTTCTGAAAGCTTAGAAAGGCACATGCTTCATAAGAACTAAACTATAAAGAGCATACTTGGATTTTTGGCAGTATAGACATCACAGAAGCACCAATGCAGAGGAGCATGTTGACACTGACGAATGCCTTATTTTCTGAACAACTGGCTGGGTGAGTGTAGTAGACAAAGAACAGGACAACAGCAACGAGTGACAGCAGATAATTCAGAGCTGTAGCTGATAATAAGGCTGTGAAAGAAACATAACTGGATAATTAGGTTTCGACAGAAATATCAGGAATTAGGCATGGGACCTGTTTCGTGAACAGTGTGTCATTTTATCCAGTAATATATTTTAAGCAATTATTATTATCAGCATTATGCAGGCTATAAAAAGTAGGGAAGAATGGCGAGGCGTGGTAGTTCAGCCTGTAATCCCAGCACTTTGGAGGTCGAGCCGAGAGGACTGCCTGAGTCTGAGGGTTTGAGACCAGCCTAGGCAACCTGGTTGAGACCTCATCTCTACAATTAAGTCACACCAAAAAAACTAGCCAGGCGTGGTGGTATGCATCTGTAGTTCCAGCGACCTGGAAGACTGAGGCAGAAAGCCTAAGCCCAGCAGGTCGAGGCTGCGGTGCCCGTGAGCAAGCTACTGCACTCTAGCCTGGACAACAGAGTGATACTCCAACTCAAAAACAAAAAAAAAGTAGGGCAGAAAATTCTGCCCTTTATCACTGAAGAATATTAATATACTCTCAAGGACAACTCAGTAACATACTGATGACTTTTATTAATAGGAATATCCATGTTACAGATTTTACAAATCATGTTTACATTTCTTAGCCATTATTTTCAAAATCAAGAAAAGTAACGATAAGAGGAGTACGACATAAGGCTTTTAAAGAACCACTGTCATTCAGTTGTAAACAAGCATTAAGAAACAAAATAATTTGTTAATGTTAAGCAAGTAAAACAAACTGACACTTTTCATCAACTAAAATCTTAAAAAATATATTATTATGCAAGGGTAAGTCATTATTATTTAGTAAGTCAACCTAAGCTTAGTCCATGTACATTTCAACATGCACAATGTGCTTAGTCTTTGGGCTGATATGTGCTCAATACGCAAGTGTTATGTAAATCTGCCTCACTGACGGGGGATCCACCCAACACATTTTCACTGAAGGACTGCAAGGTTCCAGGCCCGGGAGATGCAGCAGGGAGCGAAACAGACAGCCTTTGCATTAAAGAACAAGGCATTCTATTTTAAGCAAAGTTTTCAAATGACTGAAATGTATCTGAGCACCAAACTCTTCTTACTTTATCCACTGAGATCCCCACAAACTAATTGTATGAGAAAAATACTAGTAAGCTGCCAGAGACACTGGATTTGGCTTGCACTCTCATTTAAATTTTTTTAAAAGTTGAAAACCAGATAATTTAGCATAAAAATATGGATTTATGGGTTCTCTGGGGGAAACAAACCAGAAAAATCAAGCAGTAGAGAGTCTGCCACCCCACAAAGCAACCGGTGAATGGAGCTGAGCAGTAGCCATGTGCTTCAGAAGCGGCGCTCACTCTCCAACTCACTGTAGTCCCCACTACCTGCACAAAAACTGAGTGTGCACTTAAACTTGGTCCTCCCGTTCCTCATTTTTGTGACCTGTTTGGCCCCGTAAGCATGTGAATTTTGATCCATTTTAGAATATAAGCCCATAGGGCTCAAGCTGTCAAATAATCATTAATTACACTATTATCGGAAAGAATTTCTTTAGCTGTTACTGATGCACATAAAAGCACCCTTTGTACTTGCATAAAATAATCCAGAGTTGCGGCTGGGCATGGTGGCTCAGCCTGTAATCCCAGCACTTTGGGAGGCTGAGGTGAGAGGACTGCCGGAGCCCGGGGGTTCGAGACCAGCCTGGGCAACTTGGTGAGACCTCGTCTCTACAATAAATCACAAAAAAAACTAGCCGGGCATGGTGGCATGCATCTGCAGTCTGTAGTTCCAGTTACTCGGAGGGCTGAGGTGGAAGGATCACCTAAGCCCAGCAGGTCAAGGCTGCGGTGGCCGTGAGCCTGGGCAACAAGAGAGAGACTCCAACTCAAAAAAAAAAAAAAAAAATCCAGAGTTGTTTTTATATTTTTTCTTGTTTGTTACAATTTATGTATTATACTAATGTGTGTTTATTCTCAGCAGTCTCCTTCCCCTTAACATTTTACTTTCAACTCATCACGGGCCAGGGAATTTGGCTGTAAAATGCATATGCTTATAGCTACAGGCTTTGGAACATTTATTTTAGCTATTCAAGTTATTTTGGATTCTTTCCTGGCTCTTGACTAAGTCCCTAGTTAATCTGCTAAAAGATCTGCTCAACAAGTTAAGTTGCTGATACGATGTGATATTTTGCCATTAATCTCTTCACAGGAAAATAGACCATAAAAGTCTGATGTGATTTCCCTACAGTTTACATATCTATTCTCACTTTCAAAGTTCTACTTTGTTGTTCTGTGAGATAAAAGCTTACCTGCATACCAGCATCTTGAGTTGCCTTCTTCCATTTTTTCGACCCATGATTCATTCCACGAATGGGCAAAATCAATAAGTAAGACTAGCTGTATGAGGATGAAACAAAAGGCACCTGCCATGCCTACGTAAAACCACACTGAAAGAAAAAGAGGCACACATAACAAGTGAGAGGCTGGTCTGACTATTATCATTTCCTTTTCACAAAGTTCATGAAAGGGAAAATAAAATTGTATATAAATGCCTTGATCCTGCCAATTGGGAAAACACACACAACAAGAAAACAAACAACTAGAGCTAGAGTTTCAGATAGCGATTATTTCAGACCCCTTTATAAAACATCAGTTCTTTAAAGATATATTTCTTACCAGTTGTAAAAGTTCCTTCTGGAATGAAGAATGCCCCAATAATAATTGCAATTGCTGCAGCAAATTTAAAGAACCAAAATCTAAAAGAAAAAGAAATGTAATTTTTTATTAATAAACATTCATTCAACAAGTAAAGAGACAACCCACAAGATGGGAAAAAAAACTTGCAAACTATGCATCTGACAAAGGTCTAACATCCAGGATCTACAAGGAACTCAAATGAACTGACAGAAAACAAACAACCCCATTAAAAAGGCAAGAGACATGAATAGACACTTCTCAAAGGAAAACATACAAGCAGCCAGCAAGTATGAAAAAGTGCTCAGCATCAAAAATCATCGCAGAAATACAAATCAAAACCACAGGAAGATGCCCTCTCACACCAATCAGGATGGCTATCATTACAAAGTCAGTAACAGGTGTTGCGAGGCTACAGAGAAGAGGGAACACTTGTACACTGTTGGTGGGAACCTCAACTACTTCATACTTCAACCTTTGTGGAGAGCAGTGTGAAGACTTCTCAAGTTGCTAAAAACAATTACCATTTGACCCAGCAATCCCACTTCTGAGAATATACTCACAGGAACACAAATTGCTCTACCAAAAAGACATCTGCACTGTTTATCGCAGCACTATTCACAACAGCAAAAACATGGAACCAACCCAGATGCCCATCAAAGTGAGCTGGATAAAGAAAATGTACATATATTCTATGGAACCATGGAATACTATGCAACCATAAAGAAGAACAAAATCACATCTTTTGCAGCAACACGGATGTAGCCAGAGACCAAAATTCTCAGTGAATCATCACAGAAACAAACGGAACCCTGTACGGTCTCGCTCACAAGTGGGCACTCAACACTGGGCACTCATGGGCACAAGGACAGGAACAGCAGAAGACCCTGGGCAATGCTAAAAGAGGGATGGAGGAAAGGGGACGGGGATGCAAAACCGCCCAGAGTGCCACGCCCGCTGCTGAGGGGGAGGGGCTCATCTGAAGCCCAAACTTCACCTTCACACAATACACTTATGGAAAAAACCCTCACATGTACCCTAGGATTTCGAAGCAATTTTTTTTTTGAGCTGGAGTCTCACTCCAGCAGTGGCAGGCTCACAGCTACCATAGCCTCGACCTGCTGGGCTCAGGCAATCCTTCGACCTCAGCCTTCCAAGTAGCAGGGACTACAGGTGCGTGCCACCATGCCCAGCTTTTTTTTGATTTATTGTAGAGCCGAGGTCTCGCCAAATTGCCCAGGCTAGCCTCAAGGCCTTGGACTCAGGCAATCCTATTGCCTTGGCCTCCCAAAGTGCTGGGATTACAGGCATGAGCCGCCGTATACGGTCTCAAAATTTTTTTCTAAATTGTGTAAGTGTATTTTACCTTCAAGTTTGCTTAGACAGACCAGATATGACTGAGAAGAGGCTGCCCACACCTCTGTACTAGAGTTAACTCAAAACATACCCATTGTGCACTGCGGCTCTAGGATCACTGCTGCTCTTCACCTTGATCATCAGCAAAGAAAGGAGAAGATAGAACATGGCCAACCCGAAGCACAAACGGTATACGGCTTTATAGCCAACCAGAATGTTACAAGGGACGACGCCTTTCTCGTTCTCACAAAATCCAGGAATCTGGAGAAACAAAACAAGAGTGTAGGATCCATGAGTTTCTCAATAAGCAGAAAGAAAAATTCTATGTAATCAAATAGTTTAACTAAAGGTTGGAAAGCTAATTTCTTTTACAATTTATGATGACTATGTAATCAAAATGAGTCTGAAATTTTAATAAAATAAAGTGAAGATTAAATTTACATGTGAGTAAATGATAAACTACCAATATCAACCCCACACTGGATACTTATTTCGTTATAAGTTTATTCTAAATTTTTAAAACTTGCATTCTACTGTAATAAATGCAAGAACTATATACAAAATTAAAGAACCATGGAGTAACTAAGTCTGTTTCTAAGTACTAAAGAGTACAATAAAGGTTTTTCAAAGCCAATGTTACTTTTAAATCCATTTTGAGTTTTGGTCCCTTATTCTACAAGGAGGTACTATTTGTGATCAGCTTCATTAATCAGGTAAAAAAAAAAAAGACTAACCTTATTGAGTTGTTCCTCCATTCCTGGTATCAACATCACACAAGCTACACACACTCCAACAAGCAAGAAAAGTGCATAGATCAATCTAGTTACAGTGGAGTTGTTTCCACTAGGACAACATCTGCATAGCAAACAAGGTGCACTACCACACAAACATGGTATCTGGGGAAAAAAATATGATTAAAAATCAGTATAGCTTAAAATGATACAATGAAAACTGACATTTTACCTGTTCGAAAAAGAAAAAAAAACACTGAAAACAATTACCAAGGTATTTTGGTTCACATAATAATCTTCAAGCCATAAAACTTAGGAACTTTTGGGTAAAGGTGCAAAGTCAAACCACAAAAGTCCTTGCACGTTCTACCTCAAGCAAGATGAATCTGCTAAAACAACACAGGGAGAAAGAATCTCAGCAGCAACCACCGTTTAGCAAAGAAACGGAACATTCATGAGCAGCGCAGCTGCTAAACCCACTTCCAGCTCCTATCCCTTAACCCCAGATACCATAATGGGGAATTCACAAAACTCTGAGAGTTCTCAGTTATCTCCAGGGAGGAAATGCAGTGAACTGGTATCCCCACCTTTTCTCTCTTTTGACACGGTGATGGTGATAATGAAAATTACCACTGGAGTCAGGCTAAAACAATCAGTATACACTGGACTTCTCACCTTCTTCAACAAACTCCACACTAAACTAGTAGTATACCCCAAGGGAAGAGAATACCTTCCTGTTCGGAGAGGTGAACACTGATCTAGGGTGTTTAACAATGAGTAACTCAGGCAGAGGAAGTACTCTCATAAAGACTGGCCACAGCCAGGGCTGAGCTTACCATCCCGCCACAAGACTTCAGGAAGTTGGATGAGCCAGGATATTCCAGCCCTAGAACTACAGCTCTGCGAGAAAAGAGTCTTAGATACCACAGTGAGGAAGTATTGTCGAAGCCAGACACACTGCAGCAACAAACGTAAGGCAAGAACAGAGGTGCTTTATATCACATTTCAGCACGATAAAAATGTCACGGCAACTATGCAAACATACCCCCCCGGGGGGGGGGGAGAAAAAAAAAAACAAAACAGCTTCTCTCAGGAAAAGGAATTTAAAAATATAAGGCATATGGTGAATCCATCCTGAAATAAATGTAACTCGGCAAGAAAAGGAAATTCCCTATGGGTATTTCACTTGAGCTCTAGAAAAATAACAAAAAGCCCCCTTTTTAAAGGAGACATCAAAAATGAAATGAAGGCCAGGCACACCTATAATCCCAGCACTTTGGCAGGCCAAGGTGAGTGGATTGCTGGAGCTCACAGATCTGAGACCAGCCTGGGCGACTTGGCAAGACCTCATCTCTACAATAAATCAAGAAAAATTAGCGAGGCATGGTGGCACATGCCTGCAGTTCCAGTTACTTGGAAGGCTGAGGCGGAAGGATCACCTGAGCCCAGCAGGTTGAAGCTGCGGTGGCCGTGAGCTTGTCACTGCCCTCCAGCCTGGGTGACAGAGTGCTACTCCAAACAAAAAAACCAACCAAACAAAACAAAAAAAGAAATAAGAACAGAACAGAACAAAATGGAAAGGAAAAATTAAAGAATCAAAGAAAGAAATGTGAGGAAAAAAGCAAACAAAGAATTAACAGGTTAACTATTAAGGAACAAAACAGACCCCTGAAAAATTACTGATGGAAATAAAAAAGGCTTGGGATACTATAAATTCAAGTCAAGATGGACCAGACTTATCCTCTTGCCTTAAACAGCGGGAAAATAGTCACTTATTATAATAAAAGTTTTCCAGGCAATGAACAACAGGCAATGTAGAGCAGTGATTTCTGAAAGGAGACAATGTGAGCCCTATAACTGGCTCATCTTTCTGCCCTGGGAGAAGGTCCCAGAGCAGGGAGGGCGGTGCTGGCCGAGCTGGCAGTCTACCTAAGTTAAGGAAACAGCTGAAAGTTCAGGCAGGTTAAGGCAGCCAGAGCTCTCAGGACAGAATTCCTGGAGAGGATAAAGCTACATAGAGAATCAGCTCCAGGGAACACTGTTCATTTTTTAATAAGTTACTCAGTGGGGGTGGAAGATGGTTTCTGGGAGCTTTACCACCCAGAGTGGAAAAACCTTGTAATCCAGAAGGCCATTCCTCAGTACTGGAAAAAAACCAGCCATAAGACTAAAGGCCGCACTACTAAAGGTTACACTTAAAAGTAAACATCAAAAAGTAAATCTCCTATGTTCAAGAAAAGAAGCCCAATATTTCTTAAAAAATACAAGTATATCCAGCACCCATCAGGGTAAAATTTACATTTGACATCTAATAAAAAATTAGCAGGTATGCAAAAAAAAAAAGAAAAAAAAGAAAAACAACACCAGGAAAATACAAACTACAGTTGAGAACCAATCAGTCAAAACCAACTAAGAAATATTAAATATTAAGGAAATTCATTTATAAATAAAGCACTATAATATCACTATAAGGTCACAGGATACACAGTCATTATAAATCAATCGTATTTCTGCATATTAGTAACAAACAATTGAAAACTAAAATTAAAAAGAAAAAAATAGCGAGGTGCAGTGGCTCACACCTGTAATCCCAGCACTCTGGGAGGCTGAGGCAAGAGGATTACCTGAACTCAAGGGTTCAAGATCAGCCTGGGCAACTTGGTGATACCTCATCTCTACAATAAATCACAGAAAACTAGGTGGGTGTGGTGGCGTGTGCCTGCAGTTCCAGCTACTGGGATGGCTGAGGTGGAAGGATCACCTAAGCCCCAGCAGGTTGAGGCTGCGGTGGCCATGAAGGTGCCACTACACTCCAGCCTAGGCAACAGAGTGAGACTCTGACTCAAAAAGAAAAAGAAAAAAATACTTAGATGTAAATCTGACAAAACATATACAAGATCCTAATGTTCTGAATACTATAAAACATTGGTGAAAGAAATCAAAGACAAAATATAAAAGCCAAAATACATGGGGGTTAATGGATTGGAAGACTCAACATTTATTTTAAGATGTCAGTTCTGTCCTAACAAATCTAGAGTCAACCCAATTTCAATCACAATCCCAGCAGCAGTTTGAGAGAAATAAACTAGCTGCTTCAAACATTTATATGAAAAGACAAAAAACTAGAATAGCTCAAACTCTTCTGAAAAAAAACAGCAAAGTTGGAAGATACACTAATTGATTTCAAGACACGTTACAGCTGTAGTAATCAAAACAGAATAATATAGACAAAAGGGCGAACACATAAAAATTGAAATAGTATAAAGTTCAGAAACAACCATTATGATCAAGGGATTTTTGACAAAGGTGCCACAGCAAATCAGTATGGGAAGAATAATCTGTTAAATAAGTGTTGCTGAAATAACTGGATATTCATATATTTTCTTTTTTTTTTGAGTTGGAGTCTCACTCTGTCGCCCAGACTGGAGTGCAATGGCCACTTCCGGCCACCGCAGCCTCGACCTGCTGGGCTCCGGCAATTCCTCCGCCTCAGCCTTCCAAGTAGCTGGAATTACAGGCATGCGCTACCACGCACGGCTGATTTTTTGATTTATTGTAGAGATGAGGTCCCAGGCGGGTCTCGAACCCGCGGGCTCAGGCAATTCACTCACCTCAGCCTCCCAAAGGCGCGGGATTACAGGCCGAGCCACCGAGCCCGGCTTCATATATTTTCTTAAAAGTGAAACTTCAGCCATAATCAAACCATGTATGAAAATAAACTTAAGATTTCCTAGCTACAATATAAAAAGCACAACTCACAAAAGGGAAAAAAATGAATAAACGGTGTCTCATCAAACTCAGGAACTTTTGCTCTTTGAAAGACACTGTGAGGAGAAAGAAGAGGCAGGCCACAGACCTAAACAAAATATCTGCCGGCTGGGTGTGGTGGCTCCGGACTGCAGTCCTAGCACACTGGTAGGCAGAGGCAGAAGGACTGCCTGAGCCCAGGGGTTCGAGACCACTTGGTGAGACCTCGCCTCTACAATAAACAAGTAAAAAAAATTAGCTGGGTGTGGTGGTACATGCCTTGGATGGCTGAGGTGGAAGGATCGCCTGAGCCCGTGGGTTGAGGCTGCAGTGGCCATGGTGTGCCATTGCACTCCAGCGACTCAGGGAGGGAGGAAAGGAAATATTTGCAACTCAGGAATCTGATAAATCATTTGCAGCCAGCCGGGCTAGGTGGCTCAGCCTGTCATCCCGCGCCTTCGGGAGGCTGAGGTGAGTGGATTGCCTGAGCCCGCGGGTTCGAGACCTGCCTGGGCAGCGAGACATCAACCCTACAATAAATCAAAAAATCAGCCGGGCGTGGCAGCGTGCGCCTGTAGTTCCGGCTACTCGGAAGGATCACCAAAGCCCGGCAGGTCGAGGCTGCGGTGGCCAGGAGCAGCCACTGCACTCCAGTCTGGGTGACAAGAGTGAGACTCCAACTCAAAAAAAAAAAAAAATCACTTGCAGCCAAAAGATAAAAGGAATGTTCAAAACTCAATAATAAGAAAACAGCCCAATTTTCAAAATGGGTAAAATACAGTAACATTGAGGCTGAGAACTAAATCAAGAACTCAAACTACAAGAGCTGAAATAAATAAATAAAATACCTAGGAATACAGTAGCCAAAGAGGTAAAAGACTTTTACAAGGAGAACTATAAAACGCTGGAGAAAGCATAGATGAGCCGACTACTTGGACAAACATTCCACACTCACGGGTTAAAAGTGTCAGTATCATGAAGATGATCGAGCTGCCCACCAAAATACAGACTCAAAACAACTCGTATCAAATTACCAAACCCATTTTTCACAGAATTAGGGGGAAAAAAACCTAAAATTCATATGGAACCAAAAAAGAGCCCAAATAGCCAAAGCAATACAAAATAAAAAGAACAAAACTGGAGTACCTGACTTCAAATTATACTACAAGGTGACAGTAACCAAAACAGCATGGTACTGGTATAAAAATAGATCAAAGGCATAGATGTAGAACCCAGAAATAAAGCCACATACCTACCACTGAGTTAAGTCGACCAAAACACACAATGGGAAAAGGACACCCCGTTCAATAAATAATGCTGGGAAAATTGGACAGTTACAGACAGAAGAATGAAGCTGGACCTCTATCTCTCGCTATATACAAAAATTAACTCAAGATGGATTAAAAACTTAATGTAGAACCTGAAACTATAAAAT